GAGCTCAGATCAGTGTGACAGCAGGTCTCCTAATATTTCTTCAATACACTCGGACATCTGAATTATGGCTACGTTTACACTGCAGGTCAATGCTTAAAGACAATTTTTTTGCTCAGATCTGATGTTTTTGCATGGTCCTTCGCATTATTTTTTTAAAATGTGACCATCATCAGACTCCAGGGTGAACTCTGGATGGCCCTGAAGGTGCCCGTATGTGCAGAAGACAAGACATCACACGCAGCTCGCTGTATTTACAAAGCAAACATGGATGCTACACGTTAGCATGTGTGTATCAATTTTGAAGCTCGTGCACAGTCAGAATCAAATTATCTGACATGATTGTTTGGCCCCGCGTTTACATTAGAAATTGCCTCTTGCCGGTGCAGCGTTGGGGCAGCACGGTGGCACAACTGGTTGAGCTGCTGCCTCTCAGCGAGCAGGTCCCTGGTTCAAATCCCGGTCCAGGGGCCTTTCTGGGTGGAGTTTGCATGTTCTCTCCGTGCATGCGTGGGTTTTCTCCGGGCACTTCGGTTTCCTCCCACAGACCAAAAACATGCATGTTAGACTGACTGGTAACTCTCTCTATGTGTCCCTGTGATGGACTGGAGACCCGTCCAGGGTGTACCCCGCCCCTCGCACAGTAATTGCTGGACATGGGCACCTGTGACCCACAATGGAAGAAGCAGGTAAAAGATAATGGATGGATGGTGCAGCGTTGTATTTTAGCAGCAGAACTGAAAGTGAAACTAACTCAAGTATTAAAGCCATTGTGCCAGTCTGACACCAGCATGGGAGTCATATGTTGCTCAATCATCCAGGACATGGCAATTAAAAGAACTAAGACAAAGCACCTGGACTTCTGTTCTGTAGTTGAATTCGTGCTGATTCCATGATTTAAACTGCACGAGGATGGTATCAATATCTTCAATCCTTGGATTGATCCGCTTACTGCTTAATGCGACATTCAGGACTGAGGTCACTTTGAAAAACACATATATATATGATTTAGTACCAAATACGGCTAAAACCTGGGTCGGATTTAAAAAAAACAAATCATTAAAAATAATAAAAATTGATTTGTCACTTTCAGACTGTGAGCCACCTTTACCTGCAGTGTGAACGTAGCCCGTGTTATTTTTTTGACTTTTACATAATTCAGAGCTATTTGAGTCCATTTTTTGTGTACATATCTTAATAATTACATGGCAGCTGTGATATAGAAAAACATATAATACAATGATTATTGGCATTACAGAGCTCAGTCAGTACAAAAACTGCAGACTGGTAAATGGTTCACATTTACATAGCGCCTTCTTGAAATCCTCCAGGCTCTGCAAAGCACTTTTCAAAGTTTCTCATGCACACACTCATCCAGTGCTTTTTCTAGGCAGGGCTTGGGCAGTGGTGGGTTCAATGTCCTACCCAAGGACACTTGATACTGCAGTGACTGGGGATCAAACCCTCAACTCTTCCTTCCTAACCACTGGGTCAAGCCTAATGAAACCCCCCAGTGTGCTGACAGCTTCCCTGTGAATGTGACAAAACAACACAAAACAGCAGCTCAGGTTGCTGTGTGTGTGACCGACAGCACATTATAGCTCACAAACTATCAGAACAAACAGCATCTGCTCTACTTTGTTAGATTCTCCACAAAAATGACTTTTTGAGCATTCGGATAAACAGCTCATTAAAACCTTTTAGCCCCAAACAAACAACAAAAAGCCAAGGACGGCTGCTTTATTATCCAGCCAGCAGTTTGAGCACCTTTTTTTTTTTAATCTCAACATCCAGATAATAGCTCCACTGCTTTTGGGTCATAGCTCAGATTGTGTTCATACTACAAAAAGTATGAGAATAAAACTCAGCCAGACAACCTTTGAAGGTAGATTTTATAAAGAGTTTTAATACATATCGAGACATTCAGCTGTATGGAGTGTTATGTAGACACACTTATGATGGATGTTTGTGCCAGGTCTGAACGGGTCCAATGTCTCTATTAGAAAAAGGTCTTCTGCATTTTCTTCTCTACTTTTGTCCTCCCATTCTCACTCATGTACTGTTCTCAGGCAGCAAACACACACAACCTCTTTTTACTGTCCCAGTACCTCAGTCTCTACCATGCAGCAGCCTATCCACTATTTACTAGTTTGCTTATGATCTCTCATTTATTTGCCTTTAATTACTTTTTAAATACAATTTACCAAGGCCTATCTTAAATATATGGGCTTTTATTGTGGGCAGTGAAAGAAAATTATACACCTCCTGTTCACTAAAACCACATCTTGCATTAAAATAAATCCTTATGGCTTATTTCTTAGTAATGTATTTCTACTGGATTTTCTGAGGGACCAGGATGAGTCCTTTCAGCCCACAGACAGCGCTCCCAGGTGGACAAACAGCTGACAGCGGTCCAGTCTGCCAGTGTTTCAGCTCATGTGGATAAAGAAGATCCAGGAAGAGCTGACGAGTCATTTCCCAACTTTAAAGTTCAACTCCGAGTTGGACCACAGTGTTTTTGTGATTTTTATTTTTTTCCCATGAAGGCTATGGACAAATGGTTGTACTACATTTTTAATCAAATAAATAAATTTGTAGTTGTTGGTGTGATTGTGTTACAGTACATATGAAGTGACTGTTTATTTTCCCACAAGACATAAAAACCAAACGGGACACGCTGTTTTCCCAAGTTGCACACCGTTTTATTAACAACTTTTAAGATTATTAAAAAAGAAACGTCACAACGATGATAAGAATGAAATTTTTGAAGAAACTCAGGAATGCCAGGGAAGAGGTGAACTGCAAACTCGTGAAAAAAGTTAAAAAGACACTGCCTGTGAGAGCATAACGATCGGATCAGAACCTCAAAGCAGGATGCAACAAAGCCTGCTTAAGATGTCAGCTGTGTTTGAATGTAGTTAAAACAGGTCGAGTTTGCCATAAAAAGAGGATTTATGTTATGATGGAGCATGAGAAAGTATGGCATGGGAAATGAAACAATCCTTTCCTGTAATATCTTCCATCAAACACCTCCTATAAACATCCGTCAACTCCACACAGAGAAAACTATCACTGTTGGAAATAAAGCTCTGTTGCCTTCTGCTTGACTAAATAAACTCCACACAGGAAAAATAAAATAAAGGTTAAAAACACCATCTCACACTCGCTCTTGGAAGAACGACATCCTGTCAACAACTTTAGGGAGTAAATCCACAAATTAAAACACGAAAAACCTCCATAAATTTCAAAAAGCAACCCAAACCGAGTCAAACGTTCCTCTCACACCTGAGCGAGCAGCAAACAAATACACAGAAACCTGGATTAAACAAAAAGAGAGAATGTGTCTTCTAAAATAGAATCTAAACCTTTTTCCTTCAAAACAAATCACAAAGTGGACTTTCCACAACATAACTCACCCTGGTCGTGAAAAAAAAAAAATCTAAATAAAAGAGAAATAACTACACATTGCTCAACATCACAAATGCACAACTATAAAAGCATCTCAACCATACCATACTGCGGAGCGTCTACAAGCTAACTGCTGGGTTGGGTTTCAACAGAAAGGAGCGACGGGCCTCTCATGCTGGCAACGCTGAAGTTTCTTCAACAAACAAGTCGTGTTTCTTTGTCTCGCTTTGGTCAGTGAAAGAGGAAATGCAGTAGACGGACAAAAGGACAGGAAGTGTTTTTAAGTGTGTTTATAAAAACAATAAAACAACTCTCCCTTCGTCGCTGAATCATGGTTGGATTCCAACACCAAATATAAAAAGATGAAGTCATCAAACTCCACTCGTCAGGCTCCGGGGGAGCGCTGTTGAGCTAGGAGGGTCCCGAGAAAATGCCCCCCAATATGGGGGGAGAGAGATTAAGAGAAGGCAGAGGGGCTCAGGGTGAAACTACGTTCCCACCACCTAAGGCTCCACTTCAGTCAGCTCCTCAGTGTGTTTCTGCAGGTGCAGCATCTGCAACAGATAATTATCACCTGTTGAAGCCATGAGAGACATGCTTCAAACATTTGATTACATTTAGTCCATAGCTATTCACAACAGGCCAACTTAAAACAAACTTTTTAAAATACTGTAATTTCCGGACTATAAGCTGCTACTTTTTTCCACATGCTTTGATCACCGCGGCTTATACAATGCTACAGCTAATTTGTTTTTGTTTTTTTGACGGGCTAATGAGCTTCATGCTGCCAAAACATTTAGCCTCGTCACACCCAGGCGCTCACAGAGCTGCCCAATACACATCTATCTTGAGGGGTGGGTCTTTGTGGCTCAACAGCTATGTTTAAATGCGCAAAATTCTTTGACCGGATTGAAATGTTTTCAGATTAAATAATTCGAATGTATCGTCTACATGGGCACAATCTGTTCACGACGAGCGTTTACATGCAGCGGCTTTTATTCTGAATAGAAGTACTGGCATGCGCAGAGTGGTAAACTCTCCTTAAAAAAAAACACAGAAGAAGCAGTTCTACTTCCAGTTTACTTCTGGGATGAACGTAAACAAACCTGAGCGCCCAAAATGGACCCGCGACAGGTTTTAATGACGGTGGAGACGTTACTGCACTCCCTGACTGAGCTACAGGTGATACAGATCATTTTGAGCTCTTTCTAAGTTTCTAGTAGAAATGTTGTCGCTCACCGACCAGTTTTGCTTCCTCGACATGTTAGCATCTAGCCAGGCGGAAATACGTGAAGTTGACAGGTCGCACAGGCGCAGTCAGGTCAGTTTTCCACAATCAGAAAAAATGATCAGATTAAGTGTTTACATGCACACTGTTCAGATTATGAATCGGCATAAACCACCCGTTTCATTTGGATTACAAATTCATTTGGATCGAGCTGAACCAACAAAGAATAATCCGAACGGGGCGTTTACGTGACACTTTTTTATTCCGAATGGCCGTTTAATTTGATTACTTATGTCCAAATAAAGGTTAAAAAAAATCTGACCAATGAAATTACCGAACAGGTCACAGTGGACCAAAGAAACGGGGAATTGGGGGTAGGGGAGAAGAGAATGGGGGGGAGAGAGTCCGTTCTCTTCTCCCCTACCCAGGGAGGGGGAAACTGTCCACATGCGCAGAGCAAGATTTGCTCAAGCCTGCCAGTGGAGCAGTGTCTAAAAACTCTGCAGAGGAAGATGAAGATAACGATTAATGACTTCCTGGTAGGATACTGTTTTTTTTTAAAACCAGTCATGTTACAGGCACTGTTCAGAAAATAACATTTTCTGTACATATTTGTGTACGTTACCATTACGCATTTAATTAAAAGGTTAAAAATATATATATTTGCGTAAATATCTCAAGTTACAACGTGGACACCTGCGCCTTAGAAACAAGCGCGGCCTATATATGTACAATTGTTTTTGTGTGTGTGGGCGTGGCTTATATTCAGGTGCACTCAATAGTCCAGAAATTACGGTATGTGTAATAACTCATATGTAAGGCTCTATTTATTTTTATCAAAACATAATTATGTAAATTCCTAACACAAAAAGGGCATCTACTGCTGGTACAGCTAAACTAAAAACCCTTCCTGCACATGGAAGAGAAGAAACATTTCCCCACAATTAAAACAAAATTAAATCATGCCCTGAAGCCTCAGTACATTTTTTTTAACCAAATTTCTGAGCGATTTGAAGGTTTCTTTAAGAGAGATGAGACTACATTGAATTACTGCACTTAGTTTAGTGCTTGAATAGCTAATATAAGCTTGGGGTGGGGGGTGTCAAAGATAAAAAATATACCTGTCCCGTTGCTGTAGTCAGGAGCCAAATGTCTGTGATTAAGAGCCATTAGTGAGGGAAATGCTATATAAACTTAACATTCCTGTCTACAGTTTAATATAGTGATCATATTTTCTTGTTGTCTAATTATTATTTTATTTAAGATTTTAATCTCATCGTTGAAATGGTTCCCAGGTTAAAATGGGTGAATAACTTTGACTGCAACAACAAAAGTCCATCAGTAAAGTGAGACTTTCCCTGCTGAAGGTTTAGATACCTGTTTGGGGCTGTTGCGCACACAGAAAAACTCTTCGCAGTTTTTCCAGCGGCACTTGAGCGGCTGGAGGCTGGCACTAGCGTGGTGCTCGATCAGGTGTTGCTGCAGATGCTCCACCATCCCAAAGACCAGCGAGCAGCCGTGCCACTGTCAACACAAAGATTCATAATGGCAACCATGCACAAGCAGGAAGTTACAGGGCGACAAGCTCAAACAGGAAGTGGTGATGGGAAAAGGAATAACACGATTAAACCATGGGCTCTAATGGCAACAGGCTTCACGAATCAGGCAATTGAATACTTCAGGGAGCATCCTTGACTGAACAGGTTACAACTCAAACAAATTGTCATATTTATAGTTTTTAACACCGTATCACAATGAAGCAAGAATGCGTCAAGGTCCATTGTTTGTAAAACTCTGTTTCTTGTTCAGTAACTTAAAAAGACATAAGGTTTCCTATTTTGAAGAATTGATCTTTTAAACACAAGCCAGTCTGCTCTGTCTTACCCAGCAGCGGTGGTTCTGCATCAGGTTCAGCCTGACGGCTCGAACGCTCCCATCATAACATCCTGTGTAGATCTGAAACAAATTAATTTACAATCAATAAGCTATTGTTCCTTACAACCAAAGGACAGCTCAATAAACAGGATTAAATAAGAAAATACCTAAAGTTGTAATTTTATCAATAAGACATTTCTGTATTCACATTTTTTCAAATTATTTGGGCATTCTAGGTTATGAAAGAAATGATCCTCTGTAAGCTGCTGGTGGAGGATTTATATCCGAGCTTTTACCATGTTCTTGAAGACGGTCATACACAACACCATGTCTTTGTGTCCACCGTGCACCTGCAGCAGCTTCTGAGACTACAGACAACAAAGCTCATATTTCAAAACCAGCTGGCTAACACACACTGAACTGGTATTATAAACTATTATTCTGACTATTTGTTTGGGAATGTATACCTGTAGGTCATAGACTCGGACCAGTTTGTCCAGACAGGCGGTCACCATCACTTTCCCCAGGACGGTCACCACGGTAACGGCATGGCTGTGGCCCTTATAAACATGCATTAGCTGCCCCGTCTGATGCACAGCGTGAAAGAATAAAAGTAAAGAACAGTTCTCAGATCAGTTTAAAAAAACTCTAAATATAATAACGTGAACTTACATGGATGTTGTGGGCAAAGACGGAATGATCACTCGATCCACTGAACACAAGATCATTGACCACCTGATGAGAAGCAGAAAATTAAAAAAATTAACTTTAAAAATCTCTTAAAACTTACTAATCTGCTTTACTTTATTATATTTCGGGTTGTTTTTTGACTAAAGCAGACCAATATTTTAAACTTGACTGAATAACAGCTACTGCACAGCCACAGGAAGTGACTTAAATCAGAGTCACATGACTCGTTGAGAGCTCAAACATAATAATCCCTGGCAGGTTTCTACCCATTTGTTCAGATGCTAATTTGTTTTGCCCCAGTAATTCACATATCTAAATCCTCGTTCTGTTTTTCTCCGATTAAGTCCGTTCTAACAGGGCTAAAGCCGAGACGACAGAGCTGACCTACCGTCATGCAGAGAACGCTCTTGGTGTGGCCCTCCAGCGTGCGCAGCAGCAGCCCGTTCTTGGCTGCTCTCACGCTGATCGTGTTGTCATAAGAGCCGACCAGCAGGATCCTCCGGGCTCCCTCCTGTGACGAGGCCAGGCAGCTCACACCACGTGGGCCGTGGCACTCAAACACATCCATCTGCTTGTTGGTCTAAACAATGAATTTGGGGAAAATGATTGTCAACTCAGGCTGGCTGAGCTCATTTCATGATGAATTAGCTGTGATTTATGAGTAAAGAATAACTGTTGCTTCCAAGCTATACAGAATTCCTATTGCAAGTTATAATGAGAAACTGCCTTTTTAAACTTCTCACCCTGAGGTTGAACGACACCACGGTGCCGTTGGCCAGACCAGCGTATAAGGTCTTCCAGCGGCTGTGAAGGCAGAGGACTCGGTCGGTCAAAGAGAAGTGTTGCTCAAATTCTTGTGTCTGTAGAAGAGGTGCAACGTTAGAGAGCAGCAGTCCATGATGCCACTTGGTGTTTTTCTGTGTTTTTACCTTGAGATTGTAGCAGCGGATGGTCTGGTCACTGGAACCAGAATAAAGGCGATAATGCAGGCAAGGAGCTGCTGACACCAGTAAACAGGTCACTTTGGAGTTGTGACCCTCAAACACACCCACACATTTATGACTCTGCAACAAAGTACAAATGAGCAGCTAAAACTTCTGAAACAGCGAAAGTGAAGCAATATTATTGCTCTTCACCCACCACCAGGTCAAAAGCTTTGATGGTTTGATCTCCGGAGCAGGTGTACAGCAGCCCGTTGTGGATCTGGATGGCGTTCACCGCCTCCTGGTGGCCTTCAAACACTCCTTCGGTCAGAATCTCATCCCCAGCGTGATCAGAAAAGGCATCTAAGAAACACAAACACAAATAAATAATGCATACAGCACATAAACAAAAGAATCAACAAGATTAGGCACAGCAAACTACATACTTTACTTAAAAAATAAATAAAAATACAAAAGTCCCCCGCTACTTCGCAATTTGATTTCGCAGACTCGTTATATTGCGGCTTTTCAAAATAAGACGGGACATGACACACAAATGGCTGATTGATGGATGAGCCGCACGATCGGCATGGATTTTTTGTTTATAATACATTGTTTAAAATTATTTAGCACCTGCTGCATCTTTGTGCAGCCCACACTGCAGGATAAACTTCCTGCTGCAGCTTATCAGCTGTTCTCCGTGCAGAGCGAAGAAGTGGGCGTGGCCAAGATTGATCGCCAAGAGCGCTTGCAGGTGGCTGAGAGCAGCCGGAAGCAGAGAGCTGAAATCATGACAATCTGTGCTCTTTTAGAGCGTTTAGAGTTTAGAAACATTGTTTAGAATATTGCAAGAGTGTGGGAAGGGTTTAAAATGCCTTATATATATATATATATATATATATATATATATATATATATATATATAAAGCTTACATTTAAGGCATTTCACAAAATTTCTTATTAAATGATGTGATCGGCCTGTATAATATGGATGATAGCTTGTCTTAAAATCCCAATTTAATTAGAACACTTTGAAAAGAAATATGCAACACAAATTCCATCAGTAAAATAAACCCCATACCCTTAAAAGTTTAATAAAAAGTTCTCAAGATAAACGTACCTGATGAATTCTTGGGCAACGTGATGGAAAATGGTAAATCACTGCAGAAAAAAAAAAAATTCAACCTTTAAGTTCAGTGCAAAGACAGACTGTCGGGTATTACTGACACGTTTTAAACAGAAAATAATTTAATTTCTCTGATTTTTACTGTGAATGCTAAATCAGCATTCTTTCTTGTGGTTTACTTTTTTATTTGGAATTACAAAATGTTGAGCTCGTTTAAAAGATGGGTGCTACGACTTTAGGTTTTTGTAACTTTGATATTTTTCAAAACGTTGAACTTTATTTAAAAATACTTTATCTATACAAATACATTGAGCTCTATTAAGGTCCTTCAAAAACATTGTTCTCTTTAAAATCGACTTCTACTTTTCTTTTTTTGTCTTATGCTAAGTTTAGCTTTTAGCTACTATGCTGCTACTTTTTCCTTTAGCTAGGCTTTTGCTACTTTAAGCTTAGTTAGTCATTTGAAACGTTTACTATGTTTGCTAATTTCAACTTTCCATCCATTTTCTCTGCGGGTTATGGGGAGCTGGTGTCCGTCTCCAGCCGTCACTGTGTGAGGGATGGGGGACATCCTGGTCAGGTTCCAGGGACACGTAGGACAAACAAGCATTCACTCTTCGTAGTTACCAGTGAACCTAATATGCGTGTTTGTTTGTTTGGGAAGAAACCAGAGTATTTGTAGAAAATGCATGCTTGCCCCAGGCCGGGAGGCAATCCTCTGACCTCACTGACAGGCATCAGCTCTAATCACTGCACCACTGTGTCACCCCTATTTTTAACTTGCCTTTTGCTGGTTGTAATTTTAGCTAACCTTTTACAGCTTTTAGCCAGTTCTTTGCTTATGTTAGTTTTTAGCTATACTTCAATTACTTTTTTCTCCTTTTAGCTTTTAGCTATTATTCTGCTTTTCTTAGCTTTAACAACTTAGTTTCAGCTTTTTTTTTTTTTTTTTAGCAAATTTCAACCCCCATTCAGCACTTGACACTGACACAGCCTTTCAACAAAAAAATGCTAATTTTCTAGATAAAGTTTGAACCTAGTGGTGTAAATTTCTACAACATTTAACATCAATGTCTTTTGTATTTTAATAAAGATTTTAAGATAACTAAAGTGGGTGATATATTGGTACCACGTGTGCAGTAGCTGAGTCTCTATATTAAGTAAGCCAAGAGATGAATTATATGTTATAATAGGGATGCAGTTGTGTTTTACAAAGTGCATTAACACTACAAATAATAATTTTTATTTTAAATACAAACCTGACATTAAGAAAATTACCTCAAAAGTTTTTTCTTCAGCTTCTATTAACCTGTAGCTGTTAGGACTGTCGTTTTCATTTGACTTTACCAACTCACCTCTCAGATTTACACAGATCCATGTCACTGGTGGAGGAGACCTCGTTGCAGGCCAGGCTCTGTGGTCCAGGTCTACAGGAGTCTGGGATGAGCCCTGAAGGGGGAGGTGGAAGCAGGCCATCCATCTGATGCTGCTGACATGCTGTGACCTCCATACTTTCCTTTAAATCAGCGTTCGCCGCAGGGTCAGTCATGGGGGCTTGAAGCTCAGTTATCTTTTCAGGAGATTTTTGGTCCTCCTTCACATTCATGGCTTTAAGTGGTAAACTGAGCATCTTCTTGTTGTCATCTGTATTCATGTTCATCTCTCTGTCGTCTGTGGGCTGACTGGAGGTACTGACCTGAGAGCCCCCACTAGGTCTCCTGCGCTGTCGCAGCCATCTTGGCTTTGCGGTTTCTTCCACCATCTCAGAGTCACTACTCTCAGGCTGCTCTGTCCCTTGAGCCTTTTTCAACACCTTCCTCTTCTTCAGCTTCCTCACTCGCTTCTCGTTTCTCATTTCTAAAGGCGCGGCGAGCGTATTAAAGACTGTGGGGGAGGACACTGACTGGTTGTCCGCACAGTCAACAATGCTCCCAACCTCAGAAGCTTTCCTGCTGAAAGGCTTCACGAAGCCTTTGGCATCTGGTAGTGAGCTGCTGCAGTTCCTCAGGGCTTCAATAGACGTTTCTGTCATTTCAACCTTTGCAGGAAATTTATCTTTGCACTCTGCTGGTTCCACACAGTTAGCTTGTGAAGGCTCAAGTTTTACTGCAGGAGAGGGCTGAAGGTTACAGGCAGGATCTGCAAAAAGTTTCAAACACAGCAGTCAGTGACTAGTACATCAAATAATGACGAATGCACTGGTGGTGCTGATGTCAAGTTGCTGCAGTTGTCTAGTACAAGCAGAACTAGACACTGATCCATTTTGCTCTGAGTGATGTCACCTGAAGAAGCTGGAGCGACGGGCAGCTCTGGAGTTGTACTATGAGCACAGAGGGTCATAAAGTTGAAAGTGCCCTGCTCTGAGCTGACATGGATTGGGGACTGGGGCTCCTCCTTGATAACTACAGACAACGGAAGGCTGGAGAAGGGAAGGGAGCCGCTTTCTGTGCCATGATGAGGACTGGAAATAACAGTGTCCAAACCAGAGGAGGGCATGACTGATGGCTCAGTTTCCCATGAATCCATCTTTTCTTCTTTTAGCTTGACCTGAGGTGCTTCCATACTTGTACCTAAAAAAACACAACTTCATTTCAAAGTTCAACACGCACCACAATACTGAAGTATGGATTCTGGTAGCTACAACAATAAATAATTATGGTCAAGTTTCCTAAAACAATATATACCTTGAATTCCTTTAAGTAACTCAATTCGCTGGTTTCTCAGTGTGCCCATCTCAACAGTAATCTGATAAAAACAAAGATTTAAGTGACCTTTTATGAGTTTAAATATTTCTGGTTGTAAAAAGGTTATTTAACCATGTTAATGATGTTATTATATACCTTACAAACAGTATTTAAAAGAAATATTTTTCATATAATGGGGATCAATTGTTTAATGGTATACCTGCTGTTTAAGCACCATAAGTCGCTGCACCTTCATGTAGGCAACGTCCAGCGCCGCCCGGGCCTGGATCAAGCTCGTGTCAACATTCTGCAAGGACCGATTCAGCTCCTCCTCCTTCAGTGACACTGTAAGCAGCTGGTCGATTTGTAAACGCTCTGGAACAAAATAAAAAAAAAAAACAACATTTGAGAATTCAGTGACAGTAAACACAGTGTGAAAATCTATTCATATTTTTTGGGGGGGACTTGAGCCACAAACCTCTTTTGGATTTTAGTTTTCTTCTTTTACTGTTGTGTTCCAGACAAGATGTCTCTGTGTTGGGAACATCCTAAAAACCAGAGGTAAAAGTAATAATTGTACATTTTGCTCATTTAAAATGTTTCCAAAAAAAGAAAGTGAAAACTCGTTTCTCAAACTCACCTTGGCTGCCCTTCTCCTCTTTCCTGTTCCCTGACCATCGTTCTGCTCCGTTTCTGAGCTGCTGTCGCCAAGCGCTGAATCAGACCTCTGGAGAACTTTCATGGCTGTAGACGTTAGTTTCTCTGGATGCTTCTGCACTTTGCTCTCTGGTTGACACTGATGGTCTTTTTTGTCTGGGGCAGATAAGGAACTGGGAGAATCTGAAGTCCTCAGCTGCTCTGAACTGAGAGGTTCTCTCTGCGCTGTCTCCTCTGCAGTCAAAGATGCAAACGGGGGATGAGTCAATGCTGGTGCGAAGCTGCTCTCAGACAAGGAGCGCTTTCGGGAGGTGCCCTGGGCAGAGACGTCCATCAAAGACTCCCATTGAAAACCTTCTAGAAGGGGTATTTCATCCTCCTCTTGGCTCTGGCTCTCCTGCTCACATGGCACCATCTCTATACCAAACCTGAAGAGCAGACAAAACGAGGACTTTTGAAACAAAAAGAACGACGGTAAGACGTTCAACTCTAAGCTCAATATCTCACCTCGGCATGCCTTTTCCCTTGTCTTGCTTCTTTTTAACTTCCTGGTACACCTGATCCCAGTTCACGTTGCGGCCCGAGCCAGATGAACTGATGAGCTGCCGTACAGTTGGTTTGAGACCAAAGTCCTTTTCCGTGTCACTTCTGCGTGACTCGCTTAGATTGCGTACCCGTCTGGCAATGTTGAGGTTTGGCTCGTGGGTGGCTGTTTTGCTCTTGGAGCTGATGTGTTTAGTGAGATCACGTTTTAAGACAGTGGGAAGGTCAAGTTTGGATAAAGTTAAAATGTTTGTCCCAGACACTGTGTTGGAGGTGTCGCTCTCTGAGCTGTGCCCTGCCTCTGTGACCTGCATGGCCTCATGTGGAACCACCGAGGGTTGTTTCTCCTCTTTCTTACTTTCTTCTTGGTGGTTTCCAACAGATTCTGCAGCCTCTGAGCTCTCTGTGGTAGAGGTGATGATTTGCAGTGCAGACTTTTCTGTCCTGTGTGTAACAGGTGATGGTGGTTTAGCTGAATTGTGACAACAGCTTTTTTCTTTGTTTGCTTCAGTTTGATTGTGCCCCTGTTCCCTTTGCTGCTCCTCCTTGGGAAGTGTCACTTTCCCCCTGTTGTAAACTGAGCTACTCAAAGAGTCCCTCTGTTCCGAAACAATCTGTCTGGATATGTTGGGTGATCCTGGTAGGTGCCTTTCCTGCTTTGACTGAAGGGACCGAACAGATTCTTTGGGTCCACGTTGATTTCCAGTTGATTTTGCCAGTGGTAGATCTTCACTGCAAGCCTTGTTGTGCTGAGTTCCACTTCTGGCACCAGACAAAGAAGAATTAAACCATTTCTTGTTTGCCTTTTGACTGGAGGGGACAGATGTAGAGTTTAGGCTCCCACCTATCTGAGAACTGTTTCCTTTAGTGCTGTTATCACTTCTATGACTGAGATTAGATTTTGTCATTGTTTGATGCCTCACTTTGTCTTCCTCACTAAGTCTACTTGAGATGAAGCGCCCTTGTTCATTCCCAGGTTGGGAGTTCCTGTTAGAGCCAATGACTTCGTGCTTTTGGGGTTTAGGAGCTTTGTGATGCTTCTCAGATGTATTTGGATGAGTATCACTATGCATTCCAGGAGTGACTGAATAGGGTGTCCAACGACAGCTTTTGTCTAGCTTTGTATTGCTACCAAAAGTCTTCTTACTACTATTGAGGTCTGTTTCCGTCACCTCACTTTGAAGCCCTGCTTCCTGCAGACTACCTTTGTTGTTCCCTGTACCTTGAAACTGGTTAAAAGCCTGGGAATAAGAACCGGACGGAGTCTGAAATAAATGAGGTCCTAGGAAACCCTTGTGCTGGGCCTTTTGAGCATACCGGGAAATATTGTTTTGGCCATATAGTCCATAACTACTTCCTTCACTGCTGAGCCAAGGCAGTCGACTTTGCTGATTGCCATCATATGCACCATAGCCCCAAGTCTTGTTACTTCGCCCTATTTGGCTTTCATTTCTTCTACCCAGAAACTCATTGGATGCCCATTTCTGGAAGTTGGGAGGCTCCTGAGCATGCCAAGTGGCACTCTTCCCCTCTTTGTTGTTATGGTTCCAAGGTCTTGCCTCTTCTGCGCTGACATTATAATAATTGCTCCTGTGCCAAGACCTGTGCTGACTTGAACCCTGCAAAGGTGGCTGCAACACATTTTTTAGCTGGTACCGCTCCTTAACTTCCTTTAGTCTTTGCTCAAACTTCTCTTTCTTCTTTTGTTCTTCTTCTTCTTTTGCTAGCTTTGCAGCCAACGCTTCCTTTTCTTTTCTACAAAAGAAAAACCAAACATTGTAGAGTTCATCTCTGATATTATACCATCCTAATGGCAAAATATTTATTCACAAAGACCAGCATTTTGGCTGTTTGGCAATCATTTGATGAAGGCGTTAATTTAAGCCCGCATCTGTTGGAACTCTGCATTTGTAGGCATGATTTTTTTTAGCCTACACGCCTGACATATGACTCCAGCCAGCGCTCAGTGTGAAGCTGCGACTAAAAGGAGCCTGTGAGCACCTCTGAGCAAAATATGACTATACATGGTATATGTAGACACAAACAACATCTTGGACGGTTTTAACAATGTGTGCATTTTTGTTAAGAAACAAAGCATGTGTTTATTATTTAATAAAATAAATATTGTTCCTTTCAATACTTTGGACTGAAACTGAACTTTCTATTAAAGGGCTGAAACTTGCCTATCTTTTTTTGCTTAAAGCAAATTTGAGAGCTAATTTTCCAATAGAATAAGATAAAAGGACTTGCCTTATCTGTTCGTTTCTCTTTTCTACCAGGTCCACCAAGGACTGGTCAAAGTAGTCTTCGTCGTGGTTGTGCCAAGCTTGATGTTTATCAGCAGTCTCCACATTCTGTTTGTGCGTGGGGCTGGAGATGTGGCTGGCATATTCAGTCAGGCTTCCAACTTTCACCTTACACACTCTGCACTCGTGTCCGCAGTCCCTGGGGAGAGAGGGCGAGAGCGGACGTTCGATCGTTCCTTCTGGCATGGTTGTGATCTCGGCTGTTTTGGTTTTCCTGTTTAAAGAGTCCACAACAACACGCGCTGGTTCTACTTTCTCTCAAGGTGGAGAAAAATTCAGGAAAGGAGAATACTTAACAATCCTTAAAACAAATCCGAATCGTCTTTGTCACAGATCAGGAGGTGTCTAACTTAGAAATTTATCTTGCTAAAAAATTTAAAAAAAAAAGTTTAAAAATATATCATCCTGATCTTGTTTCTTTCTTTCTCAGCAGACCATAAGTGGCAGGGCGAGGACAGGAGGAGCAGCCCTGCTGGACCCTGCAGCTGTTCAGGTCCAGCACGCAGCACAGCGCTGGGTGTGGAGGGAAGAGTGGCCAGCGCCCCCAGCTTAGTTTGTCTTCATGATGGTGTCCGCTGCGCACTGACACTCTACAGAAGGCTGTGTCTGTATTTGACCTCTCTCTGTGCTCCAACAGCCGAAACCCAGCCCCCGCCCCTACGACAGCATGTGTTCTCAGAACAGGCTTCCAGATCCGGACAGCCCACTCGAAACCAGAGTGCAGCTGCTCACATTTAGCTGTGGAGGCCATCTTGAACTGGGTTCCCTCCAAAAGTAAATTAGATGTAGACGTACATTTTATGATTACTTCCTGCATGTTTTATTACAATATGTGTGACAGCATAAAATATTAAACTATAAATTATTCAACTTGTACACATGTACGTGAACTTAATTTAGGACAGAGTATTATTATGAGATCTTACACCCTTGGCTGAAACTACACTTACAACAGCTTCTACTCAGATTACCAGACCTACTCCTGACTACAGCTTGAAAATATACTATTTTTACATTTCATGCTCACACAAAATCACAGTAACTTCACAACAGTTCAGACCTTGAATACTTTACTTCAGATTCTCACATTTCAGCAACAGGATACAACAGTAATCTACCCGGGAGTCACGGGCCTTCAAACGGTCACGCCTGTTGTTTCGGAGAGATTGTGTCTAAATATATAAGCTGCAGTTGAGACAGCTGCCCAAATATCCACTTGCCCCATATCTGCAGACATGAATGTGTGCTCACATGCCTTGGACAAAAAATAGACCTAGACAAACTCTTGAGAGGAAATCCCTCAAACCTCTCCCATGTATGCAGTCCCATGATTCTGAAAGGTCAGTAGTTTTGTTGGCTACTTCTTAATTTCATTTTTGAAACTCTGTCATGGCACGTCACCATTTTATGACCACTCGTGCAGTTGGCAAGCCTCACAAAGATACAGTTACTCATTTCTTACATTTGTCAGCTGTATTTATTGGGAAAATAATGTGCTTTGTAAATAAGCACAGTTAAAATTTGAAGGCCTACCATTCCTTGAAGGAATGCATATGGACCGGTACTACCCGTTTTAGTCTAAGATCATCTTGTGTTGTTTTGGTCAAACCTTGAAAAGAACATTTTGCACAAACTCACGCAATGTTGCAAGATCCCGTGAAATGTGTTAGAGCTTAAAGTTTTGATTAAAGATGACTCTCAGCTCCTATTTTGCAACATTCAAATCAATATCTGTCGTATTGATCGAGTTGTAGCAGCTAAGATCAATAACTTGTGCCAGCCATCTTGAACTGGTTGTCTCTTAAAAGTTAATGAGTCGTACATGTACATCTAATACTATCCATCCAATATCTTTACCCGCTTCTTCCTTTTCAGGTCACGGGGGTCACTAGTGCCCATGTCCAGCCATCACTCTGAGAGAGGCGGGGGACACCCTGGACAGGTCTCCAGTCCATCACAGGGACACATAAAGACAAACGAGACAAACAACCATTTACTCTCTCTCTCACCTAGGGACAATTTAGTTACCAAACAGCCTAACATGCATGGTTTTGGTCTGTGGGAGGAAACTGGCGTACCTGGGGAAAACCCATGCATGCATGGAGATAACATGCAAACTCCACCCAGAAAGGCCCCCCCGGCCAGGATTTGAACTGGGACAACCGGCTCGCTGAGAGTCAGCAGCTCTACCAACTGAGCCACCGTGCTCATCTATACTATTAAAAGTTCAATTTAAGTCCATCCAGTGGTTCATGACATAATTTGCTAACACACAGACAGAGTTGACCTCAAATACTTAATAATAAAATTGTAAACAAAGATCCTGCACAGTCCGGTAATGCTCTAAATATGTGTTGGGGTTGACTCCAAAAGTAAAACAGATGTAGAAAAGACATTCTATGAATACTTTCTGCACATTTCATTAAAATGTGTCTGACAGCAAGCTATTATAAACTATATTAATCAACTTGTACCCAAGTTGAACTTAATGTAGGACAGTCAGAGTATTATTATAAGATCTTTCACCCTTGGCTAAAACTACTCTTAACTACACTTAAAACAGCTTTAATTCAGATTACCAGACAACTCTAAAATATACTATTTTTGTATTTCATGCTCACACCAAAGCACAGTAACTTCACAACAGTTCAGACCTTGAATACTTTACTTCAGAT